CCCCACACCCGGAATCCCACCCTCACCCCACACCCCCCTGCCGACGCGCTCTGCCGTCTCTGGACAGCGAGTATCTCCGGACAGCGAGTATGCCTGGTAGCGCAGCCCTTCATCGGACTGCTTCCATCTCTCCCGCAACCGTGTTTGCTCTTTGCTGTGGTTGGGGTGAAGCCTGGCCGGTGAGCCCGGCTCACCCCTGTGGGCTGTGAGGGACGTTGGGCCCGGTTCCCAGCCTGCGAAAAAAAAAAGCAATCATTTTTGGAAAAAAAAAAAACAAAAAAAACAGAGGTTTGGCGTGTGCTGCGCTCAACCGGCGAAGTCGCCAACGTGGCATGAAAAGATAAAAAACAGAGGTTTGGCGTGCGCTGTGCTCATCCTGTGTTGTGTTGGGTGCGGTGGTTTCGTGTGACTTGCCGCCCAGTTTTTTGTTTTGTTTTTCCGTTTTTTGGCAGGTTTTTTTTTTTTTTTTTTTTTTTTTTTTGCCATCTATGTATGAGTTGACTGCAATCCGACGTTTTTCGGGGTTGAGGGCACACTCACACTAGCTCTCGGCTGGATGTATATGACCACGTTTCCGATACGACGGCGACGAACCTGACCGCAATTACGTCCACAGAGAAGCGACAAAACTACTCGTGTGAGTGTGGCCTCGCCACACCACTGTTGCAACAAAACGAGTACGGGTGCATCTTGCCGCTGAGAATGGCAAGATGCATCGGATGCATCTGTTGCTATGAATAGCAACGGATGCATCTTCACCACTTTCTGTAGCAGAGGCATTCCCTCTTTCTTCGTGTCGACGAGGGCCTACGTAGCGAGACACGTTTTTCTGTTTTTTTCCTGTCTCATATTCTGCTACCTATATGTATAGTACGGGGGAACACTAACCAATCCGGGGGCAAGGTCCCACTTGCACGGATTACGAGATTTCGGCCGTTGATCTCGGCTATCTAGGGTCTCGATCTCTTAATTCGTGCAAGTGGGACCTAGCTCCTGATCTCTCTCCAGCTCACGGGGTAGGTTGGCACCACAGGAGGGCTTACACAGGGGCTTTCACCAAAAAAAAAAAAGAAAAAAAAAAAGGTTGGCACCACAGCAGTGGACCAGGTGCGAGAGCAAGGCTGTACCAGTCCCTCATCACGGTGATGAGGGGTGGGCAAGCATTGCCGATTGGGGAAATCGGCGGTGCTAGAGCCGAGCAATGGCCGGTCACTACACCTCCCCCCCCAAACCCAGATGGCGGTGTCTAATGTCCAATATTCGACCGTCCGACGACTATGCAACGTAGGGCGTCGCTTCACTACTCTCCAAATGTGCAAGACGAGAGTGAATGTTCCGCTATACATCGGAAAGATACGCCGCCATGGCTTTTGTCTTTTGTGCATGTCGAAGACTCGACGGTAGTCGAGCGACGCCCGTACTCCACAAGAATTCGTGGAGTGTAGAGTAGTGCAGCGACTCTCTCTCTCTCTCTCTCTCTCTCTGTGTGTGTGTGTGTGTGTGTGTGTGTGTGTGTGTGTGTGGTGTCGCTAGTTCCGCCGTGCCATTACCGCTCAGCATACAGATTACACTCAGAAGCGCGACAACGACGAGAATGCAAGACGGAGGGTACCTTGTACGGTGATCACTTCCGAGAGTCCTTTTTTTTTTCTCTTTTTCGTTTTGAAGTTGTTTCTCCGATCTCTCCTTCTTGCTCCGTCATTCTTTCATTTACTAATGTAGCAGCATTTGTTTCCTTCTCCCCCCCCTCCCCGCGCCCCCGCTACAGGGTCCTACCCCTTATGAACCCCCCACCCACCCTCCCTCTCTTCAAGTCTCCCCGGCGCACGATTTATCCCGGTCGAAAGATCGTACATCTCTCTTGTTGGCCATAGCCAGTAACCGTGTGGAGGAAGTGAGGGCACATTTTTTAAATAATAAAAAAATTGGGTAAATTTATCGATTTGTGCGTGTAATCCTTACCCAGGGCCCATACTAAAAAAAAATAAATAATAATAATAGAAAGGGGCGACCACCTTGGGGTATCATATCTCGCTACTCGGTATCATGGTGAGAAGCTCGCTCCCAATATTTTGGTTTCTGTTGAGCCATTCAGAGGACTGAAGTTACTCCGATCATTTGCATTTCTCTTTTTTTTTTCTGGGGGAGGGGGCGCGTGGGGGGAAGAAGAGGGGGCAGTCATTTGCGTTTCTCGATTTATGCGTGTAATCCTTGCGCAGGTGCCACGCTAATTAATTAGTCTTCTCCGAATACTGTTGTTCCAATTATAACGGATGTCCCGGAGGAGGTGGATCGTGTGTGTCTTGCTCGAGGAGTTTGGGTGTTCCTCCCCCCTCGGAGGAAGAGCTCGTTCCTCTGGCTACCGGCTTCCCCCGAACACAATGCACCCTCATTTTTGCTGTACCTGACAGGAAATACAGCTTGTATACATTCATTATAAAGGTTGCGTTATGTTCGCGGGACGACGGTAGTTAAAGGGCCGTGAAAAGAGTTCGACATTCTGTCTAAGTTGAGTATGTATTGTTGTTCCAATTTTGACGGATGTCCCTAAGAAGAACGATCATATGGTAGTAGTAGTCTTTGATTCTGAGCGCCATAAGAGAGTAGCTATGGCCAAGTCCAGAGTGAGGTTGTGAGGGAGAGGGATACAAGCTATCTTTCTGGTTTGGTACAGTCATAATCAGGGTACGTTGTGCTCGGGGAAGACGGTAGTTTGAGGGTCGTGCGAAGCGTTCGACTTTCTGTTTGAGTTGATTGTCTAACCCTGGAATGCGCACTGGATTCGTGGATTGGTTATGTAAATATATCATCACCCTGGGCGAAAGGCTCACAAGCGTAACCTGTTTCCCCGTCCCATTGTCTTCCTTGTCCTTGGCCATCCCGTCCTCTAATTCCGTTAAAAAAAAAAAAAAAAAGGCAGTGCCAATTCCGTCTTCCATCCTGTCCTCCCGTACGATGGACGTTTAACAAAAAAAAAAGAAAAACAGTGCTAATTCCGTCTTCTTCTTCTTCTTTTTTTTTTTTTTTTTTTTTTTCCAGACTGTAAACGGTTTATCCGGCATATGGGTACGCCGGCCGGGTTAGATCATCACCCGCGGAATACAGCACGCTTAAAAAGTTGCAGTCTTTGGGTTTAACAAAGACATTCTAATTCCGTCTTCCACGGTTCCACCCCGTCCTCGCGTCCGATGGACAAAAAAAAAAGAAGAAAACACAATCCGTCGTCCACACCGTCCTTCCGTCCGATGGACTTTTTTTTCTTTTTTTTTTTAACATTCCGATGGACTTTCTGCCCCTCGCACATTAAAATGCAAGATTAGCACTGTTTTTTTTTTTTTTTTTTTTTTTTTTTTTTTTT